ATGAATAATCACGATGCTGAAATTGGAAAAGATGACGTGCTGGACTTTGAGAGCCACAATTCTCATATACCTATTGTTGGCAGCAAACTTCCATGTTCTTCTCAATCATCACGTGTGAATAATGTTCGAAATGATGAAACCGATTTTTATAAGGGAATGACATTCAAGAACAAGGAAGAACTGGCAAATTCATTGAAAATTGCTTGCTTGAAAAAAGATTTTAGACTGAAAAAGGTGATCAATTCTCGTAATGTGTTTTCTTTTAAATGTTCATATCCGGAGTGTAATTGATGGCTGAGGCCTGTGAAATTTACAAGTAGTGACATGTTTGTCATTAGAATCTATGAAAAGTACCATACGTGTGGTTCAGAGCATCTTACAAGCCATAATCCCCATGCCACGGCAAAAGTCATAGGTAAGTACTTTGAAAATAGGTTTCCCAATGGTAAAGACCCATCCACAAGAGACATGTAAAATCAACTCCCCATAGAATTAAGTTGTAAGGTAAGCTATTGGAAGATTTATAAGGGCATGAAGTATGCTAAGTCTAATGTTAGCGGAACACATGAGCACGGATATGCAGTGTTTAATGCGTACCGTTATATGCTTGAAGTTGCAAATCCAGGAAGTAAGACGGTGTTGTCGCTCGATGAAAATGGGAGCTTCAAGTACTTCTTTGTATCATATGCCGCTTGGATAACTGGTTTTCAAGAAATGAGAAAAGTAATAGCCATTGATGGAACATTCCTGTGGAGCAAGTATGAAGGAGTTTTGCTATCGGCGGTGGCACATGATGCTGAGAATCATATATTTCCAGTGGCTTTTCTGTGTTGTGGACAAGGATGTGATGCCTCATATGAATATTTTTTCAAAATATGAGAAGCTTTGTAGATGATACTGATGAGTTGTGCATTATTTCTGATAGGCATCCAAGTATTCGAAAGATGGTTTCGACTATCTACCCTGCATCTCATTATGGTTGTTGCATGAGACACCTTGGGGAAAATATTCGAAATAACTTTCACAATTCAAAGGTAGTGACCCATTTTTATAAAGCAGCAAAGGCGTACGATAGATGTGAGTTCAATGACCATTTCAATCAAATAAGAGATTTGGTACCAAAGGCGGCTGAAACTCTTGAACGTATTGGATTCCACACATGGAGAAGGGCATTTTACCCGGGAAATAGGTACATTATTTCCTATACCATCTCGTTTGAGTTTATTGTAATTTTATGTGTTTTGATTGATTTTTATTTTTTGTTGTGTAGATATTACATTATGACGTCAAACATCGCGGAGTCGGTGAATTCTATGTTTGATGTTGAAAGAGAATTTGCCATTGTTGCTCTATTTGATGAAATAAACAGGAGATTTGCATTTTTATTTCACCAGAGGCGTATGGAGCTGGTGAACTCTGCAAATAGATTTGTTCCTTCAATTGAAAAAGACATATCAAAGTATGTCAACGCGGGCAACAAGTTGTTGGCTCATCAAATCGCTAACTACAAGTTCAGTGTAATTGGTCATGGTGATGTTGCTACGGTGGATCTACAAAGAAGAACTTGTACTTGTAGAATTTTTGACTTGGACAAAATACCTTGTCCACATGCCATGGCAGTGCTTCGAGCCCAATATGGTGCCGATTTTGGAAATTAGATTTATAAGTACTCCTCTCCATATTATTCAGTGGAAAAAATACATAAAGGCATATTGTGAGGAAATTCACCTAGTGCCACCTGAAGATTTTTGGATTGTCCCTTTGGATATCATAGAGAGAAAAATACCTCCTCCATATGTTGATCCAAGCAAACCAGGAAGAAGGAGATATAAGAGACGGCATGGAGTTGGTGAATCATTTCCAATAAGAAAAAATAAGTGTTCCGTATGTAAGGACTTTGGCCACAAAAGAACTACATGCATCCCCAAATCGAAATGCTCCATAAGTGTTGTTGAATTTTAATGAATGTTCTCTTTTATTTGAGGATGATGTTCCATATCTTCTTATCTTAATTTGAATCAACTTATGTTATGTTATTTATATAAAATGTATGATTTATTTAATTATTTGTTGCTACTTACAAAAGAATATTGCATATGTTCCAACATATATCAATTATGTGTAAGATTTTACAACAGAATATTGCATATGTTCTAACATATGTCTATTATGTGTTACATATACTACAGAATAACGCATCTGTTCCAACATATATTAATTATGTGTTAGATCTTACAACATAATATTGCAAATGCTCCAACATATGTCAATTATGTGTTAGAAGTACCACAGAAAACGAATTTGTTCCAATATATTTCTAATAAATAATTACGTGTAAGGTGTGTGAACCATCAATCAATCATTACTGTCATTGGAACAACTTTCAAGAAAAAAATTAATTACAACTCTTCATATTTTACCCTTTTTTCAAAAAAATAAGTACTTTCATTTGAAAAGTCAAAAGTTGTGTCTCTTTTCTTCTCTTCTCTTCGTCTTCAGAAGTTGCAACTTTTCACACATTTCCTGGCATTTTATAAAAGCACAACAACAGAAGGTCCTTTCATTTAATTTTCTCTAAAATGGAAAGGAAGAAGAAAATGACTAGGAGTAAGAAAAACTACATTGAATCCCTTCCGAGGGAACTACTAATTGATATCGTTGAATGCATTGTTTCCTACTCCCTCAAAGATTTAATGAAGGTTAAATTAAGGTATGTATGTATTAATCAATTTTTGCTCTTTAATTTGATTTTCTAACCATGTGATTTGATTTCTCAGTTCTAGGGTCCTCAATTAAGTCGCTAATGAACCTTCTATATTCAAAAGGTAACATTGGTCAACTTTCCTTATCGTAGATGGTCGATAGTTCAAGAAGCCATTTCTTTCCTGGAAATATGCAGAGCATCGGGGAATTTAGAAGTCTTAATAGAAAAGGCGTGGTAATTTTTTATGTTTTTCGTATGTATTCACATTTTTATCAATGTATTTTGCCTTTTAAATGTGTTATTTCTTTTGTAGTTTGATTTTTTCAACCGTAACGATCCAACTGCATTGGGAATGATTAATTAAGCAGTAGACAGTCGCCACATTGGTGCATCCTATGTGCTTGCCATAATTTCAATCTTCAATGGCGGTGAATCCATGAGAGGAGGTTTAATGTTCATTGCCAACATGAATAAAATGGAGCCATTAAAAGTCAGAAGATGTCGACAGAATTTGCGAAATATTTTAGGTGGAATGTGGGTGCCAGAACCTAATTTTTTGGGAGGAAGACCCATTTGTTGCACTGTTCATCAATTTGAGCGAATCGGTTGCAGGAATGGTTGGCCCATGGGAAGCGACATTGAAGATGATATTCGTTGTGTATTATGTAGTTGTGATTTAGAACTAGATTATGTAGTTAAATTTCTGCCTTATACCATTGTGTGGTATTTATTAAATTATCATATGTGGCAACATATGTACATAACTTGGAAATTCATGATGAAAAAGGTTGCCTTTTTGTGTTTTGTACTGATTTTTGAATTTGTTCTTTATAAAATGTTTAATCTAAAAATATTTGTTTTTTTCTATAGTGTTCTCATTTTGACCATCCTTGAAATGTCATTCTGTGGCAACATATTCACGTTCTGTTGGATAAAATGTTGAATTTAAGTATTTGCATTTGAAAAGTCAAAAGTGCCTCTTCGTCTTCCGAAGTTGCAACTTTTCACATTCATTACTTTGGGATTATATAAGAAGAACACAACTTAGGTCCTTTCATTTAATTTTCTTCAAGATGGGAAGGAAGAATAAGAAATTTTCTATCAATTATTTTTACAAAGACTATCATCCCACTAGTTCATCATACAATGACCAAAAATCCATATGATAGTTATATAACACCCTTGTAAATCGTTGTTCCATGTGTTATAGCATATTTTTATTGCTTAATTATGGTTCAAAGTACTAAAATTTAGTCCAATTTGACATTTTCTCATTCCTAAATCGCTTAATTCATTGATTAACCGATCCTTGAAGTGTCATTTGTGGCAACATATGCACGTTCTGTTACATAAATCGCAATAGACATGTCATATGTGGTAACATATGTTTATCATAAAATTGTCTTTTGGGGGTTAATTCAATTAAATTGTCACCTAATTCAACATGTAACACTAATATATAGTCCTACAACATGTCTAAGTACATAATTATGGTCTAATACAACAACCTTCATCAATTCTATCAATTATT